TTCTATAATCAAAACTATTATTTTGTTTCAGTTAACTTACAAGATCCCAATTCATAAAAATAACTTTTACTAATAGCAAAAAGTCCTCCAGCCATAGTTGGTGTTCGTATTGGTTCTAAATGATGTTTTCTTCTTTCTCGTTCTCGGTCGGATATAGAGTACCAATTAAATTCTAAGTTCCAATCAAAACCACCAGTGCTTATTGCATCAAGGACAACAAAATTATATTGCAATGTATCTTCATCAATAGTGTCAATAACAGGTGTTACAACAAATGTACGATTTTGTAATATTGGACCAAGTAAAGGCTCAAGCCAACCTTCTGTAGCTTCAATATGTGAATCAAGAAAAATAATAACATCCCCTTTTGCAATAGCAGCACCTGCTAAACGTGAACGTATCAAACCTTCTCGTTGTTTTTGTCGAACTATTGAAACTATTTTAAGATGCTTTATATACTTATCCAATGGTTCCTTTAGATGTTCTATTAAAAAAAAAAGAACAGAGTCTTGATTTCAAACACAGAAAAACAAAATCTTTCTTACCCATATCAGAAAAGTCATCAACAAGAATAATTTCTTTTAGTAAATGTGAAGGACTACGATTAATAACTGAATGTATTGATCTTAATAATACTGACCATGCTTCATTATGAAAACACATAATAATACTTGCTGTTAATGATATAGGTTCATGTTGAAGTTTTTGACAATCTGGATCACGTACATCAGGTAAACTACGATGATATGATATTAAATCACTAGCATATACATTAAATGCATGTTTTTCAAAGCCATTTTCATATTTTATAAGTTCATATGGTGATAATTTAGTTTTATCAATTTCAACTGGTTTACCCATTTCACCTGGCCCATTTAGATCAACTTTTTTATCATCAATATTTGATGCCATTAGTTGTTCTTGTTTATTATCTGATTTTTTAATTGATCTTTTTATAAAATTAATCGAATCATGTGGATTAATGTTAAGTTCTGCAAGTTCGTCGGTAATTTCATCTTCACTAAATGTTTGTTTATCGCTAGAATTTGTGGTTGAATCATGTAATTGAAATAAGATAAAAATGATTAAAAACCAAACGAGAATTATATA